AAAGCCCAGGGCCCGCGCCCGGACCCCGGGGCGATCTGCTGGCCGGACCCCGGGGAGATCTGCTGCCCGGACCCCAGGGGCGATTTGCCGCTGGGAACCCTGGGGCGATTCGCCCCCGAACCCCAGGCTCCTTGCCCTCAGTGCGCTTCCTCCCGCGAGCGAGCGCACTGGCCGCACCACTGCCCTGCCAGATGGTGCCCTGCGAGGTGCATCTTCACGCCATGGCCAGTCCAGCCTGCCAGCGTCTGCATCCAGAGCAGGAGCCCGCGGAGCTCTGCGACTGGCCCGCGGCTGTCATTTCGCGTGTGACACTCACACGCACCCCACATTTCAACTCCCATCAAGCGCAGGTGTAGCAGGGACTTGCCCGTGCCTTTAGGGGTTCTCTCTGGCTGCTTCCCTATTACAACAGGCTAACTGCCTGGGGTCGTATTCTGCACGCCTGTCTGGCCCTTGACAGATTTTTTTTTTTTTTTTAAATCGTCTAGTCTTGCCAGAAATCTACTTTAGTAATTTGGAGTGTGTGTGTGGGGTGGGGGGAATTCTCGGTTTTGTTAAACTGCAATACTCTGTTCTCTATTTCCTTTATTCCATTCCTTCTTCCTTCCTTCTTGTTTATAAAGATCTGTTCTGTTACTCCTTTTTACAACTTTTCGAGATACTTGCCTGGCTCCTTAGCTTGTAAAGTCCCTTTTATTTTTTTGCATACAATGCTATAAATTTGCCTTGAGTTACTAAGTACCTATTTAAATGTAATGCACGTTTTTGCTTGTTCATCTGTTCTTTATTATTCAATTCTAAGCATGTCCTAATTTCTGTGGTAGTGATTCTCTTTTTAACACAAGAGTTATAGAATAATGACATTTATTTTCCAGGTCTATGGGATTTTTTTTTTAGCTGTTCCTTATTCAGTTTCTCATTTTATTCCATTATTGTCAGATCACAGTCATATATGGTTGATCTTTTGCATTTGAAGATTTCTGTGTGTATAGAATGAATAGGATGTAAATGTAAAGAAGATATTTGTGATGTCTAAAGTGTATGTATGAGGAATGACACATGTGTTTTAGTTCTCAAAACTACTCCAGTATCTTTCAGTAAGTTACTTTGAGCTAAGCCCCAGCTTTATTAAAATTTCACTATTTTTCCAATAATTTCCTTTTGTTTTAGAGGTTCATTGCTGGATTCCCCTTCACATTTTGCAGTTTCACTTTAGTCTGATCTGGGTATAACATTTTTTTTAAATGGCAGCGTTTTTCATAACCTTTACCATTTTGAGGAGTCCTGCAAGATCAGTCCTGCAAGACTGTTTCTCAGCTTGGGCTTGACGTGTTTACTCGTGGTTTCACTGCAGTCATAGGTGTTTAGATTTATACCACAGACATGATGTAGCTTCATCACTTCCTGTCAAGGATACATGGTATCAGTATGACTTACCATCAGTTTCTCCACTATGAAGTTACCTTTTCCTCACTCCCAAATTCTATTCTTCAAAAATAAGTCACTAAAACCAGCCCACACTCAAGAAGGGGCAAGGAGCCCTATGGAAAGAAGAAGACGCCTGAGAGACACAATTAAGAGAGTATACACCATGTGGAATTCACCTGTAGAAGAATTTTTTTTTTGCTTATCTTTAACTTTAAATTAATTAAAATGAAATAAAAAATCAGCACCTCAGACACCTCAGAAAGAGTATTTTTCTTAGCTCAATCAAGATGACATATAAAACTTACCAGCATAAAAACCTAGGTATAGTTATAATAATTAAATCAGTGTGGCATTAGTGTTACAAGCAACCCAATATGAATGGGCTGCCTGTCTGTGGGTCCTCACCCACGCACTTAAGATTCAATTGCACTGCAGGTGCACACAAAAAGGTCAATAATGGGTTTATTTACAAAGGGGAAAGAAAAGGAACAACCCAGGGAAAGAGAGAGAGACAGAGAGAGAGCTTCCTACCAGTTCCGCTGACTTGGAACCCCAACAGCACATTGAAAATTCATCAAGAGCCAAATGACCAGGCACCCGCATGAGACCAAGGGAGAGAGAGAGCCAGAGCTTAACATGGCTCCTCTATATATCCCCCAGTGTCTCAAAATGGCTGCTTAGCTTCACCCGTGGGTCCTCGCAGCCCTGCCTCTTGTATTGCTGGGAGTTGTAGTTTCAGTGACTGGAGTAGGGGGTGGAGTTGTAGTTTTGATCACTGGAGTAAGGGGTGGAGTCCACAAAACCTGTATCTGCAGCATTTGTTCAAGACATCCTTTCCCCTAACATCAGCACATGGATGGAGAACTGGACAAATGGAATAGAATGAAGCCAGAAATACATATAAAGTTACCTCCTTGTTTTATACAAATATTACACTGCAATGCTATGGGGAAAGACTGGTCCTTTTCCTAAATGGTACTGGCATTCAGTACCATTCGCCTGATGCCTTGCCTCGAAACGCCTCGAATTTGCTCCCTCGATAGTCTCAGTGTGTATTTAGAGGTTGATATACCACAAACAAGAAACCAAATTTGAGACGGATCACAACTAAAGGTGAAATGCTAAAAAGTAAAAGTTGTTTTTTAAAACAAACAAACAAACAAAAACCATAAGATGAATAACCTTCTTTTCTTGACAACAATTTCGTAGGTACCACACACCATGAAAACCCAACCTAATGTATATGTTTACACCCATCATCCATGTCAAGTCATTGGACATTACCAGAACCTCAGCAGTTCCCTCATACCCCTCCTGGTATGAAGAGCAGTCACATTTAAAAAGGAGAGAGAGACAGCAACACTCAGGCACTTAATAATAAGTGAATAATATTCAAGTGGTCAAGAACCAAAGGGAAAAAAGTCCTCCCAAGATCACTACTCATTAGGAAAATGCAGACGAAAACCACAGTGTGGTACCATGACAACCTTAAGAGAATATAAGTGGCTTGTCACTTGCATCCAGAAAGTCAAACTCTGAATCACAAGAATCATCTTTACACGAAGGAGTTTTATTTGAAATGGCCATCAAAGGAGCTGGGGGCTTGGCAAAACAATCAGCTCCCTGCGTGACAGGACTGCTGTGTTCTAAGGGGGCCAAGGTGGGTGAGTGAAGTGCAGGATTCACATTTCCGCATCCAAGCGGTACAGGACAGGGACAGGAGTTGAAGTGTTTAGCTCTCCCGGCAGGTGTTTGTTTCTGATGCTGCTATCAACTCAGAGAGACACAGAGGATTTTATTAGGATGTAACACAATCGGTTTTCTAAGTTCCTAGGAACGCAGATGAAGCCAGCTAATGGTTAATCATGGGCAAGAAAGGAGTACAACTCAGAGAGTGAACAGTTAATCAGAGAAAGGGAGTGCCATTATTGAGTGAACAGTCCTGAATAGGGAACGAAATTCAATGGTTAGAATTGAATCCTTTCCCCCTAGTTTTTAGGAAAGTCATTTTAATCATTTTGTGTTTGGCAGTTTCTACGCTACAAAGCTAAATGTGCAATTCCAGAACATCTCATGTATCCTAGAGAAATTACTGAGTATTTCTAACAAAAGTTTTATTCAAAATAGCGAGGCAGGGAATGTGGGAATGTGGGCGACTATGGAGATGATGGATGGGCAAAGTGAGGGATGGGGGAAGTAAACTGGTTTAAAATGAACAATAATGTAAATAGATATTAAAAACAAAAGTGAGTCAGGGGCCCTCCCCGGTGGTGCAAGTGTTAAAACACAGCACTATGAAGCTATTGGCAACCACTGCAGCATGAGTTTGATCCCCGGCCCGGGAAGTGACACACAGGGCACAGCAGACCCCTCCTGTCTCCCTGCTGCTCCCCTCAGCAGTGGATTTCAGTCAATCTGCCTGTTCAGTTCCCCACTCTCTTTCTGGTGAATCTTCTCACACATAGCGTACCACCTCTGGCTTATACCCCAGCTCTTGTATGCATGAATAAATAAATCATTAAAAATAAAATAAAGTGATATCTTTAAAGTGAATCCTTTTCCAATCCAATCTGACTGGTATCTTTTTTTTTTAAAGATTTATTTATTTATTCATATGGAACTGGGGTACAGGCCAGAGATGTGGAGGGTGAGAGGATTCACCAGAGACAGAGAAGGGAGCAGAACAGGCAGATCTCTGAAGTATACTGCTGAGGGGAGCAGCGGGCGGGTCAGGAGAGGTCTGCCTCGCCATGTGCTCCTCCGGGGCAGGCGGGAATCGAACTCATGCGGAAGTGGCTTTAGCTTCTCAGTGCTGTGCTTTAACCCGCTGTGCCACCAGGGAGGGCCTGACTGGTATCTTTATAAGAAATAATTTGAGACACACACAGACCTGAACATAGGAGAAAAAGCGTCTCAGGAGACCCGGGAGAGCAAAGCCTGCCAAAACCTTGATCTTGTACTTCCAGCTCCCAGAACGTGAGAAAAAGATGTACTCATTTAAGCCCTCCAATCTGTGCTTCTAGAAGCTAGAAGTCCAGGATCAAGGGGTTGTGAGGGTTGGTTCTTTCTAACATCTCTCCTTGGTTTACAAGATCACCTATTGTTGCTGTGCCTCCGTGAAATCTTCTCTGTGGGTATTTGTGCACTCATCTCTTATAAAAATGCCGTTCATGCTGGGTTGAAGTCCTCCTATGTGAAAAGCTTTTGAAAAGCTTTGTAATTGCCTCTTTAAGTCTTATCTCCAAATACTGTAGCAACTGGGTTAAGACTTCAACATAGGAATTTTGGTGGGACAGAACTCAGCCCATAACAAATTCCAGCAGGCATTTCATGTATGGGTGTATGGGTAGTATTTAATTTGAAAAGTTCAGTGATTATGTATCTATATGGATATACTATATGATATATGTTATAAGCTATTTTTTTTTCTTTTAACCTAGGGGTCTAAACACCTCTTTTATCTTGATAAATAAATTTTTCTGAGACTAGTAACTCCAACTTGATCAACAGGAGTTTGACTGCTCCTGATACATGGCAGGACAGCTTGGATCGCCCTCTCCCCTAAAAATTCATACACATTCATAGGAAGATCCAGATGCTTCATGCCATCTTTAGAATCCCAGGGCTTCCCCACAGAGATCTTGCTCTTGACTTTATTCTCAGAGAATAAAATCAATATTGAATTATTGAGTATATGCTACTCAATGTTTATTTATCAATGTTAGGAGTAGTGTGAGTGCGAGTAGTGATCAGGGTTCCTCATTCTTTTCCAGGCTTTGGGTCACGTCAGCAGTCCCAGATGGCACCGGAAGGAGTTCCATTCTCTCCAGCTCACTCTGCTAAAATTAAACCCAATCTGCCCATCTGCTGAGCAGATGGTTTCGGGGTGAGCTGCTACTTCCAGGCAACACACCGTGCTACACTGTCCCCATTGCTTGCTAAGGACCTGGATGCTCTCCTCACCCCAGCCCACATGCACCTCGCCCCTGCCCGCCGCAGGCGCCACGACCCCATACCTCTCACATGGCCAGCCTCACTGGTAGGGTGTCTGTCTCTCCAGTCACACTCAACTTTTTACCGTCATTGCCTTTTTGATTATTTTGATGGCAAAATCTAAATTCTGATTTAAGGAGTCTTGCTGGACCTCTCTCCGGTGAGGTCTTCAGGCCTAAGTTCCAACTGCAGCCCTTCTTTAGGAGCGAATCCAGTGCTTCCTTTTCTGTCTTCGCTGGGTCAAATGACTAGTAGTAGAGGCCAGCCAAGCACAGGACACCCTGACCAGTACTTTACACTAGGCCGGGTAGTGAATCTGTGACTCGGTGTGACTATCTGTGGGGAAGGACCCGGATGCTGAGATCACGTGATCTTGGCCTTGGCTCTTCCTTCTGGAGAATCTATCCTTTCTTTTGTTTGGCACTTTTCCTCTAATCCCAGAGGTGCTGGTTGCTCTTCTGGACAATAGTCCCTATAAGTTGGGTCTCTGTGCGGGGTGCTCAAAGTGGGCACGTGTCAGAGAAAAGATCTTTTCCTGATCTGTCTCAGGCACACCACTGCCTACAGGGCTTTTTGCCCCATTTCGGGTTTTCCTTACAGCACACAGAGTGCCGGGGAGGGATGACAGAGAGGGCAGCACCCATGTGTAGAAGACACCAGTGCAGACAGCAGTCTACACACGAGGCTGCATTTGCAGAAGGCGGGGAACAGCGAGCCGGGAGCATGACTCAGGACACAAGCAGAGGAAGGCATGCCTGGGCCTTGGTGAGTGGCCTTTTCCCCAGGGGGTTCTCTGGAAGCCACTCTGAGGGAGGTGAGAGCAGCAGACATGATGGCCTGTGAGGTTTGTCACCTGAGTGGGGACCATTGACCAAGGTTCTGACCCTTCAGTACGACATCTCCCTTTCACCTGGATGGATTGTCTCACAGGTAGCCCTGCAACACCCCCAACTTTCAAGTCACATTCGCTAGGTTCTATGTAAGTGCTCCCCAAATCCAAGGCATGTCAGTGACTGTCTGGTAGGTTTCCTTGGTAGAAAGGACCAATTCAGATCTTTTTCAGTTGAACAGAGTTCAGATGAGGCTGGACTCTGCGGGGTGATAGGCAGGGGTTGGTATATATAGGCCGAGGCTCTAGCTCACCTGCAGGACATCCCCTTCCAGGAGTGAAGGCCTAACTGTGCACAGAAGCCCTTACCCTGCACAGCCAAAGGCCATGGATGGTTTGGATCCACTCAAGACCTGGAGGGGGAGTTCAGGGTCTCAGTGCAATTAGCACCAAGGAGCCTTGTAAAGAACTCTTGGTTTAGTGGCTTTCTCGGCCACTCGGTATGTCTCAGGTCCTCTGGGTTCACCTTGTGCATGTTGGCCAACTGAACAGTCACACAAATCGGGGAGGCGCTAACAGCTTCCCCAAGAGAATCAAATGCAGGAAACGGTGAGTGGTGAGCCCAGGGCTGACCTTTCTGCAGCCTGTGGTGTAGCATATGGCTGCTCAGTCCCTTAGCTAATGACTGAGATTCCTGAGTTTCAGACTGCACAAGAGGAGTAACACATCACAGAGGACACAAGATAGTGCACACTGAGATCCCCTTTATTTCTGCTATTTCTTTACAACCATTCACACAAAGGTAACACCCGCATCTACCTCCCTGGCCTAAATCCCCCTTTAGAAATTCAGGTTCTTATTTCTAACACTATAGGATGCATCTCCCCAAAGACCCCATTAACTTTCCAAGTAGACATCTCCCACCCTCTGGATCACCATTCTCCCTGCTCCTGCAATACACCAAGTCATCCTGAAACTGCGTTCCCTCGAGACACACTTGTTCTGGGCTTCTGTCTACATGCCCACGATCAGCACTGTACTGGGCACACCCCATTAGGCAGGCATGTAACAGGGGCACAGAATGGGGTCTGGGTCATAGAAAGTCCTTTCACCACAGTGAGGACAGGGGTTGGCACTAAACCAGACCACACCGGGCCGCCCTGCCTCATGCAGCATCTGCTTCAGCTTGGCATGCAGGTAGGCGAGCCTGCCCAGGTGGAGGGTACCGCGGACATCCTCATAACTCTCCAGAGGGGCGGGGTACAGCACATGGCTCAGCTTGCTCAACCCGATGGTGTGGCGCAGCAGGTCCTCCAGCACAGCCATGGAGATGGGATTTCCGCAGAAGCTGAAGGTAGTGAGCTGCGAGCAGCGGCCCAGGGCAGGCAGGATGGAAGTGAACTGCATGTCCATGATCCCACACTCATCCAGGTCCAGGTCCTGCAGGGTGGCTGAGGCCCGCTCTATCAGCACCTGCAGGGGCTCGGGACTTACAGTGGTTAGGTTGACCCCACTAAGACCCAGGTCCTTCAGCTGGCTGACGTTCAGGCCCTGGGACAGATGCACCAGGTCAGACTCCAAAAGTAGGCAGTTAGTGATTGACAGGGTCTCCAGAGGGGTCTTCAGGCACCTGGGGAAGCAGAACAGTTAGTTCTGGAGCACTGGAGGTGGTGGGTAGAGGGGGCAGCAGTGACTGAGACCTCAAGAGACAAGACACCCATGTCACCAAATTCATCTAGCTGAGTGAACTCCTAGGATGCCAGGGTGAAAAGTGGAGCACTGCGAGTATGAGCTCGAGTGGCCTCCTTCCATCGCTTCACTGCTGTGGGCCAGGTGAATGAAACTTTGAATATCTCCTTTACTTGCTTGTCAAGCAGCATACAACATGCCTCTGACATAGGTGTGGGGAAGAGGAGCTGAGATAACAGGTGCTCGGAAGAGGCCTAACCCAATCTCTCAAACAAGAGGGAGAAATGACTTAGCACTGAGAGACACAGCTGGACACACTTTCAACCTGGGCTTTCTTCTTCTGGTCACAAGATCCCAGTGTGCAATAGGGCGGCTGGAAGACACACTGAAGGGCCAGCTGGGCAAGGTCTGGCAGCACCCGGCAGGGTCACCAGCCTTCAAGAGCAGACTGACAGGAGTTTTCCCACAACCATCTTTGATCTTTCCTGCTCCCGTCCCCTCATTTCCAAAATCATACCTTCATACTTTCCCCATATATTCCCTTACCTGGAGTTTAAAGCAACTTTCTACAGACGATCTGAGGGAGGTTTG